CATGTTATTGATTGTTTTTTGGATAATCTGTGTCTCTTCAATGGATGCTGTAGAGATTTCATTCATCTATCAGAAGAAAATGAAGAGTTATGCACATGCCAAATGAATATAATCACTGATTTTGACAAAGTAGATTAACAACAATTTGCAAGAGAATTGATTTATTTATGAGATTGGCCAATAAATCACCGTAACTAACATTATTCATTAATACAGATCACTTATGACAACTATGCTGGTACTAACGAGTGACCGTGCGAAGTACTTCTGCAAGGCACAGCTGCAATAATGAAGTGAAATTAGTATTGTTTGAGGTATTCCGAACGAGATTATCCAATGCCATAACCTTAGCGAAACTCTCAAGTAATCATTTAAGCCTAGATAGATCTATTGCGGATCAGAGTCACTCAAATATAGTGATCGAAATTTATAAGTAAAGAAACGGTTTACTGTATGGTTGTTAGATTTTAGTGAGATATTCCATAATAGTGTTTCCAAATTCATAAGATTGCTCCATTCGTGTTCTTGTTCACTATGATAGTAGCTCACTGAAAACAATGGTGGACGGTGGCATATTCTCGTCGATTGGTTGGAGTTAGACATTAACAAACAAGTTATTATTGTCATCACAAAACTTTAAGTACTTTAAGTTGAATAATTTCCGTAGAAACGTCCGTAGCACAGGAAGACTGTTTCATCCTATTGTATGACTCCTAGAAACCGAATATACACGACTTTGTACTCGGCAAACTCACCGAGAACCTCAGGTCTTGCACATGAATTCTCAACCTCTAGACCACTGAGCTGGAATCCAAAAGTGTTAATGTTTGTGTTGAATTAATCCACAACAATGCGCAACCGTGTTTCATTGTCATTGGTAGGTGACTGTTTCACACTCTACTCGGATTGTATAAAAAATGTTTTCCTAAAGTTAAATAACAATATTCCTGTGTGTAAATCACCGAATAATTACTGAAGACCATCTCAAAGCATCATATCGCTTAAATAGCCCTGTCCGATTCACTAAGTTTCCTACATATATAAGTGTTAACAAAAAGGTACCGAAAAGCTAACTGAAGTTGGATACAAGAACAAATGAATAATAGATCAGTGGAGTTTAATAACTTCACAATGGTGGATTTGACCCCCAGAAAGGTCGTGTGTACGCGTTACTGAGTAATAGCGTGTTAGATATGAAATAGCTCTACAGTTCTCACTCATTCATATGATGTTTAGCTGAAGAAAGTTTGTAATGGTAAATATTTTTAGACAGAACTCAGGAGGATCTATTCGATAGTTGAACGTACATTTGTATATGTTATTTGTCGCTCCATCACTTTCATCATTACCTAATCAAGTTCAGAGTAGTTCATTTTTTAAATGTTCATAGTCCAACAAACTCAGTTACCAAGAACTGGTTGTTTCATCCAAGTATGAGATCCTTTAGCAATAGGCGCTCAAGATACATTACAGCTAAGGAACCTGAGATATCCGGATATCCTGGGACTTACAATATCTCCGAATCACTGGGTCGTATTCTACTACCTACATTATACGCAATCATAAACGTTCCCTCATACCAACAGACGCGTATTCACTGCCGACTAATTTCCATAAGAATCTTAGAGATATTTTAGCAAGTTGTCGGAAGTGAAACAAATTACTTCTTATGACGGTGAACGATGGTTGTTCTGTCTATCACACTGACCGAAAATTATCGGTGTGAATCATAAACAATGTGACCACTACGCAAAATAAAGGTATTGGGTTCGATCCAATGTTCTATCACTGTGATACAATTTTGAATAGCACTAAACTTGGACGAAACTACTGTACAATGCTTCTTAATTTTCGGTTGTTTGTAATTGTCCTTTTGAAACAAAAGATACACTATTTTCCGATACACAGATCAGTGGTTAAGTAAAGATGGATAATAGTTAGGAGCGGAATCCAAGATGCGAGTTTAATACACTTTGGGATTCGTCAGTTGGATCTACCTCTATCCTGGTGTTGGTGTTCACGTCGGGACTGGAATCTAATAAGATGGTGGAGAGGATTTGTAGCTCAGGTGGATGATGTTGATGGAGTTTTGTCCTCTGAGCTGGATGGTTTGGTCATAGAGCTTTCATCGTTCATCATCAGCACAAACTTCAGATAGAAGTGAAGCGTTCGAATCTCTCCATATGTGGTTCAAAGCTTATCCTGTACACCTCGATGTTGATTGGTTTTTATTGACCTTAAATTCGTCATTGTTTACTTCCTTGTTTTGGTTGTGTCTCCCATTGGTTTGATTTTTGTTCCTATGTTTGTGAGGAAATGTCCTCACTTATATCAATACATGTGGACAAGTGCTGACACTTATTTCACTGGAAAAGTGTGGAAATCTTGGATAGAAAAAATTCCAAAAACATCAGAGAATTTTTATGAGCTTGGCAGTCAGATCAATCAGCAATCAACAAGCACATTGAAATCGACCTAAATAATCAACCAATCAGGAAAACTATGCACTAATATGAGAACAAAAATCAAACCGATGGATCATACAACGAAAGCAACGAAGTAAACAATGTTCAAATTTAAGGTCAACAAAAAACAATCGACATCGAGGTGTAGAGGACTAGCTGTGAACCACATATAGAGAGATTCAAACGCTTCACTTCTATCTGAAGTTTGTGCTGATGATGTCGTTCAGAAGAACGATGAAAGCTCCACGAACAAACCATCCAGCTCAGAGAACAAAACTCCATCAAAATCGAATTTAATAATTTTTCTTTCAAGAGCTTAGTCCATTATCTCCAGAGCGTTTGAAGCTAATACTAATAGTTTTGAATTTCAGGGTGGGAATCAACACTAGAATGGAGGTACATGGTGTTGTGACTTGAACTTGGATCGATTTTTAACCCGTGCCAATTGTTGTGTCTTCGACTGAAAGATTAGAGATCAGTGTCTTATCGGTCGGATCAAAAACGCGTAAAACCCGTAAGAACGGCCCAGAGTTTTGGTTGGCCCTGCTTTCCTGTCTAGCCCAGCCAGTTGAGTCCAGAACGCAAGTTTCAGCCTCTGAGATATGAATCATTGTATTTCAGACATACTCTGTTTATATACCAACCAACTCGGCCACAACGTACCAATAAAATAGAAAATAATATTTGTACAATAATTAGCCAGAAGTGGCCGTGAATGAGGGAAAACTAACGTTAAGCATCTAGTAGAATAGAAGAATAAACTGTGAAATAAGTTATGTAATACAGAATATTGATCGAGAGAACAAACGAAGAATTCATCTTAAGTAATTGACTATTCAGAGTATTTACATAAATGTTAGAAGCAAAATGTAAGTTGGATTCTCAACAAGGTTCTTTTGACTCAACTTAAGTTTATCGAAGTAACAATGAAGATCATACATAAAGTTTCTGTTGTCTGTATATGACAGTGTTTTTCTTTTAAACAACAATATTCACATAATCACTTTATAAACTACTTCCAAATTCAGAAAGATACCGACTTCTATGAACATTCTGTATTCGATTTTGATGCATAATATTCGGAGATGCGTTGTATGCTACTAATGTATGCTGATATAAGTAGTATGTAACACTAGTCGGAAGTGGAATGTTTACGAACCGAAGGTTGAGAGGATTAAAGTGAATAGAAGACAGAAGAAAACGGAAAGTAATCAAGATAACAATAGGAGTGAAGGAACAATGAAGCTTGTAAGAGACGATTCAAAGAAGATGTGCAAATGATGTATTTTGCATTAAACAATCAATTGGTCTTCCATATTTCACTTCTTTGCTCGTTACGATATCACTGGGATATAATCAATACATTTTAATCACTAAGGGATTTTTAATATAAATGAATGAAGAATATACTTTTCAATAAATTCTCTTCAGTATCTACAATCATCTTCGCCAAATGGATCATCCAAAATGTGGTCAGATTTAAGACAAAATGCATCGTTTATAAATGACAGTATGTGAATTGAGGATTGTTTGTGATATAAAATAAAACGGAAACTTTGTAACGAGGATGACGAAGATGAAGTGTTGACTTTACAGTAATGCAACGTGTTATCAGCAATCTGTCTATATCCATCAGACTAGGAATACTTTAGAAGAAGAAGAAGAAGTATGTTCAACCGCTCGTTTGACCAATTTCTGGATTGATTGGTGAATGATCATTAGGTGTGTGATAAGGTGACACAATTCGATTAATGCTCGTACAATCCTCTATGGATGATTCATTTGGATAAAATGATTGTAGAAACTGAAGAACATTTATTGAAAAGCATATACTTCATTCATATATCTGTATCCTAAGTAATAAAGACTGAATGTATTACACTTTCATATAAGAGTTTAATTTATGCTGATTATTCACTAAGTAGTATCTGATATCATATTGCTCTAGACCTTAATGATGTTGATAGAATTACATTGATCAAATGACAATATCTATCCAACGATCAAATTATCATAATAATAAATATTCGTTGTCTCATATTTCAAACGCTTTAGAATCATCAGTATAAGATTGTGGAAGTCGTTGAGTTTTTAAACGAGATCACGAATCAATGGATGTTGAACAACCACTGAAAACCTGTGAGTTCTGGATGCTCATTTCATCCTATTATAAGACTCTTTACCAATGTGCATGCACGATCTCTCACGTGGAACTCGAACTTAAGATCTTCGGTTCCACACAAATATGCTTAACCTCTAGACCAATAATCCGGATCTGTCGACAAAATACATTCCAGTCTGATCACTTTGTCCTTCCTTCCAACCTACTCCTACACCGATCATCAATCCCCATAACCACAATTAAAACAAAACAAAAAGATCAATCCATTTGAATATATCAATGTGTAATGGTGATTATTTTTTTGTTTTTAAACACAGTTTCATGTAAAAAGAAAAGAGACGATTTTTGTCTTAAATGTAAATGATCCATGTAAATAAACACTTTGAGATTATAAATCATTGTGGTTAATTAGATTAATTCGCTTTAACTGATGGAATTTCGTCGAGATTATTCCAGTTTGTATTCAATATTGACGTGAACTGTTCATTCTACGATTAGAAATATAGAAATATAAAGGTATAACAATATTAATTATTATCCAAATGAGGATTTGTGGAGATTGTAGTAATTTTAATAGTTGAATTCATGAATCGATCTAAGCGAAACCACCATTGAAGCATTGGACGTCCCTTTTGTTCTAGTATTAGATTCCTCAGCAGTGCGAATCAACGATCCCTTATGAGATACTTCAACATAGAACCTTCCTAATCGCGCTTGAACTCTAAATCATTCAGCCGACCTACAACACTGTTGATGTATAACTTTCGTCAATACATGACATTGCGCAACTCTTCCTCCATAGTCTGAGGTGGATAATTGTCTTCACCTGACACGAATTGAACTCCAATGGTCTTGGCTTCTTACTAGAACTCCATGAAATCCTTCTTGAAGTTAGTTACTAGTGCGCAACATCATGCATTCAAGTATTAAAATATTAATTATGTAAAATAATATTAATCAGCTTTAAAATTCATAAATAAAATGTCTAAATGATGAAAGGTAATCAACTGGAAGCATTTCATGGTTTCGTGTTCATTAACACTCATTAGAAAGATGAATCTTTAATCTTAAGGAAGTCAGATATGGCATCTGAAGCCATACTATTCATTGTCACAAACTGAAATGTTAAACCGAGCTATTCAGTCACAGTTTAACATGGAATATATCATTCTGATGGTTCAAGAGCTTATGTCATGACAGAACTGTACACATGGAATGTTTCAGTCTTCTAGGAGATTAGTTGTATTCTAAAGCGCTCAGTATTAACATCATTTACTTCATGACGAAGTGAAGAGACATGTGGCATTTTAGTCAATAGAGGAGGATCAATTGTTTCAGAATTGTGACTACACTTTGGTGATGAGTTCCAACATAACTAGCGTCTAGAGTTTACTGGCAATCGACTTCGACTGTATAACGTCGAGATGAATTTTGGGTTAGACATACATAATGACTGTTACAATTAACAAACATGTGACCACAAGTTACAATAACTTGAAACTAATCTTTCTATGAATAGTTACTCAATTGAATACTAGGCTGTTGATAACTCCTATTTCTTTCTATTTCGAGACAATTTTATAATATATCTAAAGTACAAGCAAAAGTAATTTTATCAATAACAGACTTCACTACAGTGGTGTGGCTAATTCTTTGGACTTCATTGTCCAGACTTTGGTCTTATCATGCTCCATCATCAGAAAAAAAGAACCTTGAACATCTACTACTCCAACCAATTCAGTCCAACTAGCTCGTCGCATGAGATAACAATGATTACTTCATCAAACTACCTACTGCCATTGGATCACTTGATTTCCTATAGTTGTGATGATCTGAAATGTTATAGCATGAACTGATACACATTTACGGTGGGATCGAATCCTGGACCCACAGGTTACACTATGACTTCAACATGGTTGATCAAGTAAGTCTATCGTCTAATTGAATGTTCCATATGAGGTCGTTAGTGTACTGCTGCTATCCACAACTAGTTATGTTGTAGTATTTCTCTTAATTCAATAGTTTCGTGGTGTAACTTCTCCAATCGTAAATATTTATGCAACACAATTATTTTAGATTTAATGTCGATTCACTTGAAAATTTGATTTATTAGAAATCGATACGTCCAATCTATTTCCTCCTGAAAACCAAAATCGATTATCTTCTTGACAATTACTAAGATCGTGTTAATCATTGTGATCACTGATCGTTGTTGAAATCCTTCACTAATCAAATCCCTTATGATTAAAGAAAATATCGGAAAACTTTGAGGAAATCGATTTCATAAAGTATTTGAATTGACGATTAGGTATCATGATAGACGTTTGAAAAACGTTCACAGGGAGAATATGTGTAACTGATTTGTTTAACAGGAAAAATGCTGTGATACGACCGGTGGTAAGGAATGTTCTTTCTCCCGCACGAAATGTTCTTTTGTGGACACGTGTTTACAACCACTGTCAGGGTACTCCTACTCACTGCCTTTTCGAGGCAACAGTGTTGTCTTTTTGCTACCGTATCTTTTGTAATTTCATTCGTTTGGAATATCATCTACACTTTTTCCTGTCTTCATTCTGTATTACTTCAAGTCTAGTGAAATGCAATGGCTAAAGGAATACTAAACAAGTGTGGATGTAACACTCATTTACTAAGTAGATATTTATGTAGTCAGCTTTGTGCAACACTGTGTTCATTTGTGAGAACTATTTACACTAAGCGTCAGTTCAATCAAGATACAAGAAAACGTACATAAGTCAGTAAAAACGACTTACCGTTAACTGACCAATTTTTAAATGTTCCCCATCAGATATTGTCACTCCAGCCACTAAATCAACCAGATCAATGGTATTTGGCAAATTGATACATGCATTCTTAATTTTTTGTAGACGTATTACATCAGGTGTAACTGTGGCACCAGTTAAATCTAAACTACGATTTCTTGTTCTCACTTTATTTGAAAACTATATTTCGAAAGAATCCATGAATAAGTTAATGTAACCAATTAAGTAAGTTAAACACTAACGACAAAATGAGAAACCTTCAGGCATTCACACACTCTGCATTTCTTATTTAAAAATATGGTTCCTGAGTTATAATCAATAAAGTAGAACGGTGACCCGAATATCTTACTGGTATCATCTCACATCTTGAAACTGAATGACACAAGTTTGGATCCCGTACAATGTACTAGTTCCATAAATAATGAAATTACCCTCTCCATACTAACAAGTGATAGCCTACATGAAGTTCAACACCATCGGTTCTCAGGCGACTACCTACGACCATTTAACATGCCGTTATTATTGTTATTTCAACTCCTTTCATTTATATCTTGTCAGTTTACTCTTAGTGCGTTTATCATTGAGCCGTGACAAAACAATCGTAAGTCGATTACTGTTCAATCAGATCAATACTAATTTCCTTAACTATCATATCGGTCAACATGAATACAAGTCACATTTGGAGAACCAAGTTTCACCAGTTCATATTCACCTTACTGATAACATTGTTTCATATTTCCATGTTCGAATTAAAATGAACTGAAGAGAAGACAAAGTGGAATAATGTTAATGTCGCCGTTCAGAGGAAACTCTGAATGAATGGCACTTTTGACAGAAATTAATGAGATCAAAGATCGAGAATTGTAGGATAAAACCCGACTTGTGATTCAGATGAAACCAAGAAATAATTACGACTGCTCCATTACCGATCGTCTGGACTCAGATCACTCAATGTTTATGACCAAATATCACTTTACTAGAAGCAACAATCATCCTATTATTATCTAGATTTGTGTGAATCATAACTCCGACATCTCAGTTACCACAGGTCTATAGTTTCATCATCATTGTAACTATTCCTACATAGAAGCTGATTGTGAATCCTATGATTGCTCACATTATATTTCTACCACATCGAAGTATTGTTACAGGGAAGCTTTTCATCAAACACTCTCAACTGAAACTGATATGTTACCTTCACAAGACATCTTTTTGTAAAAGAAGAAGGAGCTATATAGAATCTAAACATTTCTTCATCCTTCAGGATATCAGTTGTTTCCCGGTGAGTTTCACGTTTACATTTCTGGTTGATATGTATTCATGTCCAACTGTCAGGACTGTCTTTCTCAAGAGAACAGGCTGGTGTTATTGACAAGTCCCAGTTAGCATCAAGCCTTTGAGGTCAAATCGATCACCACCAATAGTAATTCTATTAGAACACAATATCGGATAGAAAGAAAATACATACAGGAAAGACAAGACTTACATTCGATATGGACGATCTGGCTGTTCTTAATTTACTATTCATTTTTATGCCAAACTGATTGTTATTTGGATTGTTACAGTATGACTCTGATACGAAACGCCATTGAATTGGAATTTTATTTCCCAAAATATTATTATCACTTTCATTTGAATGTGAATCAGTCGTGAATGATTCATCTTGCCTCTTATTGACTGGATATAATTTAGGTACACTAAGTAGATTTCCTTCATCGTCGAAAACTAGTTTTCCAGATCCATTGATTCGTTTGTTTTGTAGCTAAATATAATTTTAGAAAATGCTCCAATTCAGCCTGAGACAGTATTTTACTAGTTCTGTTTAACTACTATCAAATAAAAAAGTAGTTTGCGCTTTTATCTAAAAATTATGAATGATCGCATTCTTCGTCTCTTACAACTGGACTGAACGGAAATATCCAAGTTAGTTTTCTTTAACGTGTAATCTGATGTAACATATCCAAAATTTGCTGATACTACGAGACAGAACGAATGATAATAGGACATGGCCAATACAATGTTCGAAATGGTGAAATTAAATGTTCACATTTTAATCCACGTAGAAAAGAAAGACAAGACCGACCAAAGTTAGACAGCCATTGTGAACATGGAATCACTAGGCAATCGGTTTTCTTTAGTGTGAGCCTTATCATCAACGGTTATCTATGACCCATAAAAAGGAGTCCAGTCAGAAATCAAACAAAGCTTTCCGTTGTCTGCCATCACACATCTAACAATAAACAAAACAGACAGGATATTTTAGTATATACACTCAACAATGACCATAATTACCATAGTTTCAGGCAGTGGTTTCATGAGTGGTTTCATTGGTTTCTTTCTAGTTAGACTATATTCTTTACTGTTATTGTCGTTTTTAACTGATATATTCTTTTGAAGAAATTGAAAAAAAATTAGAAAATTATCTCACTTCCATTGATACATTTTCTATAGATGATTTCAATGTAGAATCTTTCAACTGTTTAGTTAGTTGAGGGATGGAATCTCCTTGATCGGTAGGCATACGGGTGTGATCTATAATTGAAAAGAAAGTTTATTAGATGCCAATATCATTAAAAAGCGAAATAACTATACGATTTATTTTGTTGCTTTATTACATTTAGAATATGGCTAGGAGCGATGTTACGAACATGAGTTTCATCCTATTTGAAACTTTTCAATTGGATATGCCTGCATCATATTGTTGATATTTACAGTGGGACTAGAACCTCGTATTAGAACCCGGTTATTAATACAAAGTCATTTTCCATCAAGCTACCAAGGGCATATAGCAGGTAACTTCTTTAAAAGGTATGAAGTCATTAGACAAGGTTTGTGATTCCCGGTTGTTGATATCCAGGACTCGAATCGATATGCCCCAGATGACATGTGTGCACCCCGAGTAGATTGCCTTGATATGACATTCACTGATAAGGACGATATGTGAATCCTTGATTTCACCTCTATCTGTATGCCAGGTATAATGACTATCTAGTCAAGATGCAAATGTGCCAACATAAACTGGTCGACTAGAAATCTCAGTAGTGGCAACAAAAAATTATACTGACAAGTGACTCATTTTACGATGGTAGATGATGCTATTGCAAATAACAACATTAAGAATGAGCTTATATAAATCATTGAATTAAAACCGTGTTATGTTACAGATCAACAGAAGCTCAAGGTGAATGCCCTAAAGCTATCATGGTAGTTGTGAAGTGCAATAGTACTGAGTGCAATCTTCGGCATGGTCATTGGTGCTCATATCCTAAAGCTCTGATAATACATCTTGATTCTGAACGGTTCTCAATTCACTTATTAACAACAATCATCCCAAAAACGTTAATGCTCTTCACAATAAAGTAGACTCAATAACAATGTATGTATATTGAAACTAAAGACTCTATCAATACTATCTGACACAAATAAACGAAAGTATATCACATCTTGCCATAAGAATGAACAAGGAGAACTGTAAATTTCGAACTTTCAAAGAATTTTATTGTTTTAAGAACATGTAATGAGTATTCCAAGCAAGAAAGTAGAACATTTAATTATCAGCATCTTCCAGCTTTCAGTACTAGTGTACAGTTTTCATTGAAACAAGCAATACTGACCCACACATTTTCGTTTAGGATGGACTTAAATAACAAGTGACCTGATATCAGGTAAATTTGCTTCATTCTGATACTATGTGAAAAATATGTTTATCAGTCCACCTTGTTTTCCAATGAATATTTTCAAATTTAAGTAACCTGAATAACTAGGGATTCAGTGGTGTGTTAACCGTTCAATAAATACTGACCAAGTGTAAAATGAATTTTGAAAGCTCCAACGAAGTGATGCAACAGATAGGACGAAGTATTTAATCATAACACCAGTGATCTCTGATTTTCAGCGATTGTTTTGTTGCATGAATATTATTAGATGTTTAAGGAATTTGTTTACCTTTTTTAAAATCGTTTTTCAGTTTTTGAGGCTTCTTCTGTCGTATAGATATTTGGTGGAGATTTTCACTATGGGACATGCCAACAGTATGTTCCTTACGGATAGCTTTATTTTCACCAACATCTTCATTTCTGAAATAATAAAATAAAATATATAAATTGGAACGTTTTTAACCTTGAGTTTGTTTGTTTAAATTATACAAATGATTCTTTTTGAACATTAAAAGATCTAACGAACCTGGGATCATTTCCATATGACATCACAAATTCAACAGTATTAAGGAGTTCTAAGTAGTAACAAAGTATTTATCTGGTTTCGGGTCTCAACAGTATTATTGAAATCGCTAATATTTTGCAACAAATGAAAGTAAGGGATCACTGGTTACTGTTTGACTTTGCTCTTCATCCAGAGATAGATAATTTAAAGTCGTGCTACTTTAGCCGAATAATCTGCCAATGTTTTGATTACATAAGGCATGTTTATATATATTCTCACATGACTCTCTCTTCTGAAATCTATTCCTTTCGAACTTTCAGTTTAGGCCTAAAAGTCTATGAATAATTCAATTATTCACTCACTTTATCATTCTATCTAATCGACTGATTTGTTAAAGAAAAAATTAAACATGATTATTAATAGGATCAGTCAGTCAGCTTGCGACAACGTAGAACTTTCTACGTACGTACGTTTCCACAACTGCATAGTTTAACTGTAAAACTGCATTACTGTCGTGGGTAACATCATTAGCGTCATCCTCAACTCGACAAGAATATTAGTATTTTCGTCTTTAAGGACGATCTGATTAGTCTTCTAAGTGAACGCCTGAATCAGCTAAGCTCTTCTAACAACTCCAGGCAAATCTACACAACAACTTCAACATGATAGAAAAATTGCGATGTAGCAAGAAGTTTTTGATCCAAGGCTATTTTATGTGAAAGACTCGAGAGTACTTGTCGTATTTCAGAAGGCATAAATGCATGTTACGTTTTTGTACACCTACTAACTGACTCATAATCACATGCTAAGTCTTTCATTTTATTCGCATCTTTACGATACGCACGTCCCTTTTTATATAAGCATAACACTTTCATATAATATACTCACCCCTCACGGGACACTATACTTTATCGGATATAGTACTTTTCCGCTGAGTATTGATAACGTTAACCATACATCATTTCAGTGTTATTTTGAAATCGAACGTTTAATTAAAAAATGTGCTGTTTTCTACAAGGATCTATATAGTGTCGGTTGCTATGTTAAGCCTATATAGCTCTAGAAAAGCTACTTTATTAATCTTTCTTAAGTCATATTATTACCATGCGTGTGTGCATTTCTTAGCTTATTCATCACATGTCTCTGTCTTGTTTTTATCTGGCTATAAATACTGGTAAAATCGAGTTGGCATACTCGCCTACTTCATTGCACGTCATTTTGTTTTGCCTCGCTATCCGATCAACAACCGTACCATTGGATCCTAGCTCAGTGGTCTAGAGGTTAAGTGTTCGCGTGCGATAGTGATAGGTCTTGAGTTAAAATCTCACGGGCATGACCGTGAATGCGCACTGCTGGGGAGTCCCGTGTCAGGACGAAACGGCCGTGCAGTGCATTCAGGTTTACCATGGTGGTCTAGCTTTAAATGACTCACAAGTTCAACTATCATACTATGCATATTCAAAACTACTAAAGTAGCATTATGTTCATGACAAAAAATACGTTCGTCAAATGAAACACGGAAGCACCCACTTGTGGATAAGACTATTTTCAAGCCCTTGTAAAACCTGATGATTATTTTGGGGTTGTAGATTGTCTGAAATCTTTGCATAAGTAGTCTTGGAAATCGCTCCTTGAGCCCATGAATCTATCCTACTTGATTCAGCAACTAACAGACATAGTTCGGTTATAAAAACCAGTACATACGTTCATCTTCGAACCACTCTGGATTAAGATTAATATAAGGCTCTCCTTGATCGCAGGACATGAACTCCAACTACGCATTTTAATATACAAAATTGTATGGCGTTATTTACGTCAATGTATTGCATGAGGCACAGAGATGCTTGATTGACTGCAAATGGTATTAATTGGTCCTTTAAATATATCTGGAATATAGCACTGAGTGTTTCATCAACTATATCTTTGGCGATATCATGGCATGTCTTTTCTGCTAAGTCATCTTCTATCAACTCATTCCTGAACAGATAACGAATAATTTCATGCTAACCATTCTGATTCTGAAGCTTTTCCAGGGATCACGTCTTGAACGATGAAAGATGAATTGATGTTCTTTCCCTTTTCTACCTTGTTTCGACTTGTTGATTTCGACATGCAATTTGAATTTTCATCTTTCTGTTTATATGGTGCTTATTAGAAGATTGTAAATTAAAACACATCCACTATAAAATAACTTGAAAGGCTGTCTGCTATCGACTGATTGACTTATTTGAAGTCATTTCTTGTTAAATAAGTACGTTTCCCGTCTTTACCAAAGTGCAGTGGAAGGTAGTTTAACCACTCAACTGCATTAATTCTACACATTTTTGTAGTTATTCGTGGGTTTGTTTATTTTGAAATTTGAGTGAATAAATTTTTATCAAATCATTGTGGTTTCTGGAACCAGCAATCATTAAATTATCGGGAGCAAAGTGAGTTAGTGTCACCGTGAAATAAAATACTAGGAGCTGACGGTTATTACTGTGATTGACTAAGTAAACTAGTTATTTAATTGTGATCCAGGTCGTGTGAGCAAGCCGAATTGTGAGAGAAAATTCAAAATAGTGTAAAAACTAGATAAATAGGAATGAGCTACTGACTTGTGTGAACTATTGTAATGTGTAAGTTACAAGACATGTATCGAGCACAGCCATTCCAAGCGGTTCAAGGTAAACGATGAATCAGTATGTGTTTATCAAGTCGCTTCTTAAGGCAATCCACTGGGGAAGCTGTAATAATCTCAACTGGGAGAGCATTCTGAATGGGAGGGACTGCAAATGAGAAATAAGTGTGAGAATACCTCGATTTTCGCCCTCTGATGTAAACGTTTTTGGGTTTTAGCTTAAGCGTTGTTGTGTTGATGTTCTATTAAAACGTTGATGACTTGAAGTATATGACATGTGTGCGTTATTATTAAATAATATTTTATTCTCTTGTAGCTTGGCGAAAATGACACCAAATATCGACATCTGTCTCCGTAGGTTTGATTTATTGATCTTAACATTCACTTAATCACTCATATTGGTACTGAATATAAGAGACTGATATCTCTTTTGTACAGACTGGGTTCATCAACGTTTGGGAGATCGAGATGAGACTGTTATTACGTTTTGTATATTATAAGAACAAATTTTGATGTGACTGTGCCAAGTTGTTTTCGCATAAAGTGAAGAGGTATATCTAATTTGGCTGCATCACCAATCTAGTTTAAACCAGTTTACCAGGCCTCTGCGAATTGTAGTTATAAAAGACGCTCTAAGGAAATATTTAGGAATGGATTTTCAAAGATAACGTAGATCGTTTATTTTTAATTGAGTTGACGAAATTCTGGCAGATGTCCCAATACATTGTCCACTGCACGTTTCCTCATTGCTTTGATGTCTTTTTAAGAACTAAGTGAGTCATTTTCGCTTCTTATGAAACTTTACCTTTCGGAATCGAGGGTCAGTGAGCTCATTCCGGCCAGGAGGTTATTAGTGCGAATCAGTGAGAAGGATAGGATTCAAATGGTTCCTTATGTGTCTGCTGACGTTGAGACATTGCAGCTCACGAGGACTCTAGGAATATATCATTCAATGCAGAATACTAGTTCAATAGTTGTAAATGGAAGAAGTACGACTTTTTATCGGATTCGCAGATAATTGATAACTCTGGAAATAAAACCATGTGCAACGTGTGGAAATGGAAGCGCGAAATAAAACCAGCACTAACAAATCACTTTCGCCATTATCGACATTTTGTGATACCGAAATACTTTCAGACGACATTCTGTGGGATCGCAATGAAGTCACCGGATGACAAGGAGTCCTAACTTCTCACTATACAAAGAAAGTTATTATTGCTTCAACACATGAATCTCCGCACCCTTGAATGCAACGTTCACTTGTATCTGAAAAATTATGTGTTCTCAAATTACAGGACTGAGTACGATAAAACATTTAGGGTCATCACAACAAAATTGAAAATTCTGGCTATTGCGTACAACATATATCGAGGAATAATTCACTGACGTGATTAAATTGAAGGATACTAAAAGTCTATAAAAGTTAATATGTTGTCCGTAGCAAAACACAATTCGCACAGAAATAATATAGGTATGGCACCAATAAAATTCCACCTGTAGCTCTTCTGCGGTTATTGCACGACTAAAACCCGTGCAAAAGTGGAGCGTTGGGTATGGTGTCGGCATCCCCATCCCATAGACAACAATTTTGCTAAGCTAGCGTTAACCACAGTAAATAAATTCGATCATTCAAACTCTGTCCAGTGAATTTAAGAACAATTGTAACGACCAAAATGCCAATGTTCTTTTTGAACGTAGGAGTGACGAATCAAAATTTATTCGATTAGATCACACGGAAGTGAGTAGATAAAACTTCGCGGTTTTCGTAATCAGAGAAACCATTTAGACACCGGCTGAACGGAAAAGAATGGATTCAAAAGAGCTGCTGGTGCACCCCTGCTCCGAGAAAGAAAATGCTCCACACACGATGAGTTGATTCGGTGCTTTCCAAGGAGTCAGGAAAAACGCTTATAAGATGGGAATCTAATCGGAACAGAGTAATCAAACCATTCTTCAAAACAAAGAATGAATGAATTGTAGTGAATGTTATCTTATGTTTTGTAGTCACCGATACTAGCAGTGGCGACAATAAGGATCAATTCTACGAGAGTTCGCAATCGGTCATAACAAAATTCTAAGGAATGGACCTGATCATCTTGTTGGGGAACCTGAACGTCAAAGTCGAAATGAGCAATACCTGATCTGGAAATATCGTAAGACGACATGAACTAGTAGAAGCAAGCGAGAATGGTGATAGATTTGCAAATCTATGTACATTCAACTAAATGGTTTTAGGCGGCACGATATTCCCACACAAACACATACACAAAGCTACATGAGTCTCATCGGACCACGCTACGGAGTACAAGATAAATCATATTTGCATCAGTAAAAGGTTCGTGAGGTCGATGAAAGACGTGAAAACCAAGAAAGGGTCTAACAAAGCTTCAGATCAACACCTGATAGTTGTCGAGTTTATATATTTTAGCGAGCTAGAAAAAGTGAGCCTTAATGAAAATCTGAGCTGGATGAAAAGTTTTCTGCTGGTGAGTTGATCACGTAAATGTTTTAGTAGTCAGATGACGGATTAGTGAACGGCTCATTATTGCTTAATTTCCAAGCGCTTTATCTGAATATAACAGCCGGGAAATTTCTAGAAAAACAGTAAACTAAATTTTCTAGAAATAAAAGCACTTCACGATGCGAAGGCAACCAAAAAGATAACAGAATCAGTGTGAAAATCAGTACAGAGGTAAATCCACAAAGAATTGATTTTTGATTATATCAAAGCACGACATTCAAAACTTATTGGAAAAAAAAATACAAGAACTCAGTCACCTGAAGACTTATTCCGATAGTCACCAGAGCGTGTAGACTGTTAGCATAGGTTGGGTAGACACATGTTTCTACTTTTGAGAAAAGCGGAATTTTTTGAACATCCAGAGGATCGACATCAACATTTAAGCAACTAACCAGATCAGCTGGTAAATTTTTAATACCACCGTCGTATTTTGTCACAAGATTGTTGATTATTCCACAATACAATGAATGTCTGAAGTTGGACCAGTACGTCAATGTACCTCGTCTCAGTCGTCCACAGGTTAAGTGTTCGATCTCAAGGTTGCAGGCCTTGGATTTGATTAATGGGTCCAAAGTCTTGAATACGCTCAGCCGATAAGCCGCATATTATTAAGGAACAGCTGTCTAGTACTTCAAAAGTTTTAGTGATTGTCAAAATTTAAATGATTCATGGAGTAAATTAAATTTAACAATCCCCACAACCTCATACTGAAAAGGTAAAACGCTTAGCTCCTCGTGGTTTTTATCGATTGTGGAGAAATGGTGTTTGACCTAAGCATCATGTAGTAGTATACGTAAGACGACAAACCTCTCAGAAAATATTTAGTCTATCCTGAAAGCTATAAATTTTCTTCGAGCTTTCATTTATTGAGGAAAAATAGGCTTTCGAATAAAAAGTAGTTATGTTCGTTCCTATATACAGAGGAACAGTAGCATTCTCTAACGCATCGACGAAAATTTATGTTTAATATCGTGCAGATATTGTTAATCTCATGATATGCGACCACAGACTCATTTTAATATACTCAATAATTCTACACTACTAAAAACTGCAGCACTACAAACTCATACATCCTTAATTTTCGGCTTTCCTGTATATACCTGTTCACTTGTTTCTGTCCCATTCATTGTCTGCCTTATTTATAACCTGGTGGGCACTTAAATAAACGGTCTTGTTCAAATAATCATCATTCGGATTCACGTTTGTCTTCCTGTTATCAACCGCATAAGACTCTATCTTCCCGTTTCACTACGTATTCGATTCTTTAGTACCATTATTAAACGAGTGCAGTCAGTCAAATTTTGTGAGAGTATTTAATACATATAAATTTAATCGCGTATAGTGGTAGTATAGACCATGTGAGGGTATAATAACAGATCTCTCTGAAGAAACGTACGCCCGAAAATCGGTTATATTTGGTTTACAACCATCTTTAACATCAATCTTACACCGAATAGCTGACATTCTACCCATAATAGCAGGAATAATTGGTGGAAAACATTGATTCCCCAATGTTGATAGGTTAAACCGTGCTCTATATGAAGCTGAGATACAATTGCATTATTGGCTTTTCGACTGATTGTGTGAATATATTCCGCACGAGAAGCCTGGAAGCCATCCCATAAACATTTATGATGTTGTATAGCCTCACGAAATCATATCGTATAACGCAAAGTCTAATATTTGAACCGCGAGTCTTCATTCGGCTTTCTGATAACGAGGGATTACGATATCGATTATCAAACACAGTCAAAGAATTCGTAGTGTCAGTCGAATAATATTTGTTTATCTATGCTAAATTGGGATCTATTAGCCCCATCCGGTATGTATGTAGGATTTACTTTGTCTTGTTGTAACAGTAGGAAAAATCATTACATGTGATGTTACTAACACGAGTCTGTTTTTCTAATTGCAGGACAACAAGGAGTAAACGCACTGGAAGAAGAGGAACAAGATCTACGGAAGCTGAAACTGCAGAACGATAGATAAAATT